GTATACGGAATACTCGGCCTTCCCAATCCGAGTGTCCGGCGGGGGTTGTGGTTCCTTTCAGTTCTTTTGCCGGCTCACCGACGCTAAATAGCGCCTCCAACATAGGCTCGTAGTCTAGATCCAAGTTCACACCTCCTGACACAAGTACCCCAGTCTTGTGCCGGGCGCTCTGCTTAGTTAACACCCAGACGTCCCCCGACCATCCAATTTGTCATCTCCGAAGTCCCGCGGTACAGGTTACTTTCCTCCTGGGAGGTCATTTTCACCACAATAAGTTCAGGGACGACTTGCATAGCCTAAGATCCTACTCACACGCCGGGATGGGGCGTACACCAACGTCCAGCTTCTCATGTACGCTCCACCATGGGTTGCTACCACACCGAGGGGGGGGTCTAGAAAAACGAGCACCCCCGGGGGTACGACAACGTTTTGACAGCTTCTTGCCGAAATGAGGGGGGGGGAGTACGACATTGTGCTCACATTGTGGTGGGGATAAGCACCGTCGATTTAACTATTCTCAAGGTACCGCCGATTGATACCTTGTCCAATCTTATATCCCTCCGCGAAATACGTTTGCACCAATGTCATATGCATACGTCGCACATGTATCCGGCACAGGCAAACCGGGGGGGACCCTCTAGCGAGTACGAGAAGTAGAACCGAAAGTGTCTTCACACGTGGGTGGTCGCCCTTGCGCTTTGGCAAGAGGAGGGTATGCGAGATGAAGGGTTGGGTGTCGGGCAGGTAGACGTGGATGGAGGTAGAATTCCAGACGGAACGCCGCGCATGGCGCAAAAAATGCTCGACAAGGATGCACCGGCGTATCGCAAGGGCTTGGCAAACTGCCTGAACACCATGTCGGTGTACAAGTTCCCGGAGAACCTCCCTTTCGGCCTGGGACGTCGTGGTGCCACCACGAACGCAAACGCCAGCATCACTTACACTACATCTCAGAAGGCGTGTTCAGGGTGTGGTCGTGACTTCCCTGCGGAGAATCAGCATAACGTGGTTGCAACTCGGTTGACAGAGGTGAGTGCAGCATCTCTGTGGGAACTTGTGGCAGTAAGTACCCTGCTCAGCATGTGGCTCGCCTTGTGGGTATGAGCGAAGTCGACAGCGTGTGTGCCGGAGGCAAAACATTTTTGATGCCCCCACCCTCATCCACTCCAGGGCAGGCTACATAGTTGTCCTGCGCCTGCACTGTACCCGCACTGTATGGCTGTCTTTTTGTTGTATCTATTGTTGTGGCAGTGCTTGTGGCAGCATTCATGCTGTTGGCGCCGGCTGTCGAGTACCATGTTTGATGGCAGCGGAAATCAGAGAAAATAGGGTGGGCACCCCCACGTCTTGTTTGTGGGTGTCGACAGGCCGTGCACACTCTCCCGAATGCTCATTAAAGAGGGGTGTATCGGTGGCAATCGCCCGACCTTCTCCAAAATCCTGGAGTCGCCATCCTGAACGAAACCGCTGGTGATCATGCGAGAATTTGCCGCCGAGTACGATATATCGGTCTGCTGACAATATGCTATGTGTGTCTTGTTGCAGGGGTCAGGCATGTCGAAGGTGAACGTGCACACAAACGAGTGTGAGACGTGCGGTATCCACGGATTGGCTAGTGACAACTGGCGGGAGACTGGTTTGTTCAACTACAACAACAGCTACCTGGTGGAGCTGTCTATCCTGTACAGATGCCTGGAGGCGTTCACCAGGGGTACGACTATAAGCGCCTTCTTCGAGACGTTTTTAGAACCTTTGGCGAGTGACCTGGTCTGGATCAAGGCGAACCCAGATCTCAGCAAAAGGTAAATGTAATGTTCCACGTTGCTATATAAACGTGTCTGTCAAGGCCCACCCATTATAGTCATCCTTCTCACCGATCGCTGTTTAGCTGGTGGTGTAGCAAGCTACTGAGGTGTGTCTCGCAGCGAAAAATATGGCATGGTCGCATTGGATACCGAAACTACCAGGGCTACTCGTTTCGCAAAAACTCAGATAATAATCGATCCTGTTTTCCAGTTCGGTATCCTTGTAAGCTGGCGATCTGAAGATCTTTCTCTTTCCCGAATTCTAGGCACCACTCATTGCACCATTTCCTCCGCGGGCATGCTTGATCATTACTTCAAGTAGAAAAAAAAATCGTAGTGCCCGCGCTACTCTGCTAGCATGCGAAGCGGTTCGTTGTTGTCGAAAAATGTGTTGATTTGCATCGAGGGGGCGGGCTTGGTGCAGGCTCATTTTCTTGTTGTAGTTTGAACAGAATGTGTGTAGTGACAAACAACCGCATTTTGCCGACGATTTTTTCTTCGCGCATGACCTCCACGTCCAGGCTCGCAAACGGTACCAACTTGCTCAACGTGCTCAACAACATTTTCTTGGCGTTCCTGGCCCTCATCGACCACACTTTCGAGTTTCGGTGCTGGATGTGGGGGAAGTTTCCGCCGATCCTCACTTTCGACGCCTGCATGAAGATCGCCTGCAACTTCGTGACTCTGGGGCAGGTGATCGCGTCGAGACCCGAGCAAGACATCAACACTGACCTCGNGTCGAGACCCGAGCAAGACATCAACACTGTCCTCGCCATGAATCTTCTGCAGTTGAGCATGGTATCGCCGGCCTGGTTCGGCGGCACGAGGGTACAGTTTGTGGTCGGGGCCGGGGAGACGGTTGGAAACGCGCCAGCGTGGGTGTCGCCAGACATCCGACTGTCGGAGAACTTCCACAAGACACAGCGTGGGCGTCTTCACGCCGAGTAAGGTCATGGTTATCCACAAGGTGCTGCTTACTGCGGAGAGCGCGGTGGACATGAGCGATTGCGTAGGGGCTTGCCAGGTGAGAGGACGATTCTGTTGGCAATGCCTCTCCGTCTTGATCAGTGGGAAACACATGCCGGCACCTACGTTGCCTTGCCTGGCCGAGAGAGAGACATCAAACGTTTAATTCATATATGAATGCTCAGTGCGATGTAGGTTTGAGTCCTCTGGGGCACGCAGNACTTCCACAAGACACAGCGTGGGCGTCTTCACGCCGAGTAAGGTCATGGTTATCCACAAGGTGCTGCTTACTGCGGAGAGCGCGGTGGACATGAGCGATTGCGTAGGGGCTTGCCAGGTGAGAGGACGATTCTGTTGGCAATGCCTCTCCGTCTTGATCAGTGGGAAACACATGCCGGCACCTACGTTGCCTTGCCTGGCCGAGAGAGAGACATCAAACGTTTAATTCATATATGAATGCTCAGTGCGATGTAGGTTTGAGTCCTCTGGGGCACGCAGGATTTCCGCGGTTGTTACATGACTGGACCAAAGGATCTCGTGTTGGAGAGCGTAACTGCATAAAGCACGAGAGCAATGCCCAAGTAGGAAAAATGTGCAACCCAACAAAGGAACTAATTTATCATCACTATGAATGGTACCTGAAAACAGTAGTCCCGCACACCAAGGTTGCCCCTCCTCGCCCCCGGCGAAGGGCTGATAGCAATACTTGAGGCATTGTTTACAATTTGCTTTCGTGGTGTGTAGAGCCCACTTGAAGCAACCCGCACATGAAGGGCCCATCGTGTGCTACTAGTGTCTTCGTTTCACACACACTTTGAGCGGATTAGGTGGTCGAAACTTGCTATAAAATACGTGTCCGTTTTGTGGTCCTGACTCGGGTGTTCGCAAAAGTAGATCCTAGCTCGCGCATTTGGGTACCCGGGCGCCAACCTAGGTCCCCAGCGAGGCGCGCATGATGTATAGAGGAATTAGAACCCCCCCTCGAAAGTATACCCCCCCCCCCGGTGTTTGCCATCGGGATCGGGTTCTCGTCGCGTGACAACAACGTTGCAAAGCAAGACGATCACTTCGTGAACTCGGCAACCAGGTTACCGATTTTTGTTTTACCTCCGTTTTTTTTCTGGCGGTAACCATGAATGGTGTGGTGGTCGAGTGGATCATGTTTTGCGGGGTGGAGAACTCTCGCTTCGCGCAAGGGGTATGATCGCACCACGTTGTGAAAAAATGGTCAAGCACCCTCGAGGCAGTTACACAATGCTTACAACTGTCTCTGGAAGTGAAAGCACCAGAAAATAAATTAAGTCATACGCAGCTGTCATCCGTACGCAAGGAAGTAAGCACAAGATGCCGAACACCCTGAGCAGGATGCAGCGCACCCTTCATGCGACTCGCCGAATATCTCACAGCGCTTCGCGCTTGGTGATGTGAGAGCCTGGCCCGGTGAGAACCCGGCGTGCTCCTTCCCGGCTTTGTAGGGATGCGAGGTCAATAGTATGAGGACTACGGCATGCACGACTATGAGTACACCCCCCCCTTCACTATAGACTAGAATTATTCGTGGAATTTACGACAAATAAATACGTGATATGCTTCAACATACTTGTATAGCGTAGCGGTACCCCGTTAGCCTTGGAACACACTGGTCGCTGGTTCGGTCCCCTCCGCGTTGTGTGATGTTCCTGCGCTCATCTCGAAAGAGAGGAAATCTGCCTGCCGATATATCGCTTGATAAACCCAACCGTAGATAGAGTGGAATACAATGAAAGGAAGGGAGGGGAAAGCTCACACATATTTTTTTTTCTTCTCCTCCTTCACACCAATCCGCGCATAACCGCATTCATAACCCGGCACGTTATGCCCGCTCGGCCTGTAACCCCCCCACGTTATCCCATGTAATAACCCCTGGTTGGCCGGAGGTCACACAACGCCCCCGTACAACCGTGCCCACTGGCCACCTGTGCGATACGCCCAGCTCAGCTTTACCACTTTGGCATCTTACCGGTGGTGCAGGTGGTTGCCCCCAAGCAAGTGCAGATGCATACCACGTGACAAAAACGTGTAGTCTATTGTCTCCCGGTCATTTTGAGCGATTCAAATATTCAAACTGCAACGTGGTGCAATCGTGATGATTTCTGGCGCTCACCCACACGGGGTAAAGCAACCACCGCTGATACCGCACTTGTGGCACAGATAGATGTGTACCATATGTTCTATCCCCTGGGTTGAGAATGTGAATCACCGCACAAAACGGCGCACGCATGACCGTAATTGTGCCCTGTGCACTGGCGCCTGGTTAAAGTTACCGAAATTTGCCGATATGCCTGCGAGATTTCGGTACTTCTGTAACTTGCACGCGAACCCTTTCGACGGACAAGTTCCACCGTGGGGACCAGCGTGGGTTCCGATATCCCTGGGTGGGTACGTCGGTTGACGTGGGTCGTGCCTTAGTGCACAGCAGTGGTCAGATCACCGACACGAACAACCATCCTAGGATGTATCCTGATCTCGATACACTCTGTCCAAGCAGCCCTGATCTTGAAAAATTATGGGTCTGGGTGCCCTCGCGGTCTATATTGCTGGAGCCCACACTTGCGAATACGATTTCATGTTGTGAGTGGTTTGCACTTTTTAGCGTCATCGATATTTAATGTTGGCGGGTACCCCGGACTATGGCATTTTTTTTTTGTCTTCACTTCAAATCAGCGCTCACAGCACTGGTGCCGTTTACTACTCCAACCCGTGGTCACACAGAAGAGCCCCTCTCTACCCTTCCCTCCTTCGGTACTTTGCTTTCGATTTTTAGTGCCAGAAGACTTCAGCACTCTCTTCCCTCTGTGTACACACGAACTAACTAGCGCTATCCACCAAGCCAGGAGCGGAAGCGAGAGAAAAACTTACCATGCAAGAAAAGCTCGCTTACGCCGGGGTTCGAACCCCTGACCTGACCTCTAGAAGGTTTCGGGGATACCAACTAGACCACCGGGGCGACTGGTTTGCATGGAATCTTGTCGAAATACATGACCGTCGGTGTCAAGTTGGGTGGGAGGTCGCGGCCATGCGTGGGGTCCTGGAGTCTATCTTAATACTCCCACACACTACGTTTTCAAGAGTGGCGTTTTGTAGTGATGAACGGTCGGTCACCGATGTTTCCGGGTGGCGCAGTCCATCGCCATGTGTTATATGTTGGGGGCGCACTGCAGCAATGGTCTCCGCCCCTTGTCAAGCGCGGGTACGTTTGATGCGTGCGTTGTAACCACACTGGCATGTTATCGCACAAAGTTACAGAATCAATCGTTCGCGTATTTGGGCTGCAGTGCAGCGTATTGAAGTTGCGCCGCCGCAAGAAATGGGCCAGCCGATCGGTGGCTCAGAAACGCCAGCAGATGGTCAGTGATGGCAAATGGGCCGGTCGTCCTTGCTGGTTGAAGCGGCGTTTGGCTGTGATGATGACGGTCGGTTGCCGTTGGTTACGTGCGGTGCAGTCCATCGCTACGTGTTTCAAACGATTTTCCAAGAGCAACGAACAAGCAGCATTCCCCACTGCAACAAACATCATCATCACCCAATAGGATGAATCCGAACAAGGTATCGTATCCCTTTCAAGTCCCGTCTAGCAGCCAACCTAAGCCAGAAACCAAGTTCGGAATCGGAGCCTCGGCATGTAGCTTCAACAGCTAGGGTCTACTTCCAAGGGCCGAGCAACTGCGGCCCCGGCAACCACACGCGGGGTGCCGCCATTAGAGTATCTTCACGACGTAACAACAGAAGGAATTTTGACCCCAACTTCCCAACTTAGCGGTTGCCTTGTGGGGGTAGATCGGCGCGGGAATCTGAAGCCAAGCCTCGCTCGGAGGGTCATTTGCTCTCAAAATCCGTTTCACCAAGGCTTGAGCAGCTGAAGCCATGACACCCCGTGCTTCCCCTCCTTCCACGCCGTCAGGCAGCCGTTCGGGTTCTTCGTAATCGCCGATCGTCCCCAACTTGTCACCACCGCTCCGGTGTCTCCGTTCACGATAACGAGGGTGGGCAAAGCCTGAACGCCGAACGATTCCGCAGCGCGGTGTCTGTCGGATTCCGGCTCAAACGGCTGACGCACGAAACCCTTGCCGGTGACGTAGTCACGCATTTCCTGCTCGCTGCTCGAGGCGGCGGAGGAGACCGAGGAGTAGGGGGGTGGTGATGCGGGGAAGGGAGAAGGACACTTGAGAACCAGAGAGGGTGGGCAAGCCAGAACGCAAAAATAGGTATCGGGAACAATGACTAGGGACAAGGGGTAACGCAAGCTGCGTGGAGAGGACACATGTAATGCAGGGCAGAGAGAAGCTCAGGAGAGGGGTATCGGGGTTTCTTTAGGGGGGGGGGGGGGGGGTTAGGAAACGTCGTGGACGAAGATGTCCTAAGAATTCGGGGCAACGAAGCGTGAAGAATGGCTGACAATTTGTCGAGGACTGAAGGCAACGGCAGGCCTCGCGCTCGAGAAACGCAGCCAAGGTTCAACTTACCTCTTGTCCAAGGAAACGAAGACCACTTCGAATTCGTCCTTGTGCTCCTTCGCCCATTTGGACAGCACGGGCGAAAACGCGCGGCAAGGGGGGCACCACCCGGCCGACACGTAGACTCCGATCATCTGTGCGGGACCAAAAGGGTGGGAGGTTGAGGCGGGGAAGGGAAGATAATGAAACACCTCCACGCTATTTACGACGAAAAAAGAAGGTCGAATTGGCCTACCCGTGAACAGATCTGCTTGAGGCCCGTTGCCTCAAGGAATACCAAGATATCTTCTGGATTCAAAGTAAGGTCTGGGTCCTGCTGGCTGAGAGATCGAAGGAGGACAGGCCCAAAAAAGACGGGAAGGGTACTTGCTGTTGTTCCGACCATCGGTCCACGCATCCCTTTCATGGAGAAAGGCTGGGGGCTTCGGGCGGGAGGAATCGCACAAGAGGCAGCTGGTGCTTGAGGCAAAAGGAGAAGGTGAACTTCATCGACGTGCGATTTCGTACACAGCATTCCCGCCCTCGGAAGAACTCGTACGCCCACAAACACTTGGTCTTGTTGCACGAACGTGTTTGACCTGCCCAGCATAATAGTGCTGCACGGCCATGAACCACATCACCACGCCCGTTCTCGTCTTCTCTCTCAACAGCCGCCGTGAGTGTGACAACCCTTCCAGATGCGAGATGCACCCCGTGTATATAATTCACATCTTGGACAATAAGTACAACAATACATATTGTTTCAACAATAGTTGTGGGGACAATTCATCGATAGAGATTGTCAACTGCAACAGACACCGCAGGGCACATACCAACACGTATTGCATGCAACAATAGGGGCACCAGGAATCTATCACTTGAAGTCTGCGGGCATAATAGATTCCAGCGTCTTACTATGGATAAGCATTGTACCATGCAATAGAGTTCCTCCATGATCTATTGAAATATATTACCGCCATCTAGGTGTTCGGGCAGAATCAAATCGAAATTTATTGCCCTCGTCACAAGATTTTGGGTGACATCTATTGACATGCACTACCATCACCAATACGTTGGAGTGCAGTCTATGGGTATGCATTGTTTGAATTGAGCCGGGAACCTATTGATATGTATTGCCCCCACCAATAGATTTCGGGCGACATCTATTGAGATGCGCTGCCGTCACAATACGCTCGAGTGATGCCTATGGGTATGAATTTGAGCCAGGAACCTATTGATCATGTATTGCCCTCACCAATAGATTTCGGGCGAGGGCTACTGAAATGCACCACCACTTCCATCACAATTCGTTAGAGTTGTAATGCGTTCATCAACACATTCGGGTGCAACCTACCATAACCTATCTTGAACCAGAGTCAGAAATTGTGCAGAATTTCTTTAGATCACAGCGCCATGATCTGTTTCATGTGCATTGGACACTGCAGCGAGCACCCAGAACACTGCAGCAACAAGTCTCTACCACGTCATCTGTGCACACAGAACCGAACCGGATACGTAATCCGAGGAATGATCCGCGGCGCGTACAAGATGAACACCACCCGTTATGGGACGCTACGGGCGGCGAATTTCAGCTCAATCAAAGAAAAAAGGCATGGGCACGCCTCTCGCCGCCACCCCATCAAAATCGCGGCCAGCGACCTCGTGGCTCATTTTCTGCACGGTGTGGAACCCGTGTGAATCAAAACCAGCCACATGACGACAAAAACAAAACTTAAGAACCCCCCGCCGCCGTCTAGGTGGCCTGCGCCCCCTCAGTCGGCGACAGACCCCCCCAAGACAAGTCCTCTTCTCCAATATCGTCAGCAGGATCCGGCGCGAAGTCGAGCACCTGTACCTCCGCCAGCTGTTCCGAATCCGTCAGACGATTCGGGATGGCAGCTTCCATGGCCTCGTCGCTCAGTTTAGGGATATCTAGCGGAATGCTGTCGATCTGGCCGCGCAGGTACAGCGACATCTCCAAGTGGGCCGGGTCGAGGGAGCCGTGCTTCCGAGGCACGAACATGTCGGCCATGCAAAAGTCCCGTTCCACGCAAGCCGAAGAGGCCGGTGCAGCAAACACTGCCTGAGCCAACGACCGAAACACGGGCGGCCAATGGCCGCCATGCGTTCGTCGACCCCGCTCATCAATTTGGTTTCCTTGTCAAACTACGATGTAGAGAGACGGCCAGGCAACACCCGAAAACCAGCGAAAAGGGGTAGAGATGAATGCCGAAAGAGGGTTAGGGGGGGACAGACGTTGGACTTGACGGGAATCACACTAGAGACTCATACCGGAACCACGCGCTTTAAAGTGTGCGATGAAGCCAAGTGAACTATTCGCACGGGAATTGTAACGATTGAAGACTGTCCGCTACAACTCAGAGAAAACGGGCTTGCGCATCGACGAAAAAACAAAATTGCTCAATTGTGAACGGGTTGTCCTCAAAGAATCAAAAGCAAATATGTTATAAGTTCGGCATTGTAGGTACGTAATAACATGAAGTACACATATCAGTTATCGTATTCGTACAAAATATGAGCATGAAGATAGTAAGAGTAGGGGGGTATACATTGAGTGAACGTTTTACGATTTTAGTGGAAACATCTTCAATTGTCGGAGGGCAATAATAATAATAATAATAATAATCAAAAGCAACACAAGGTGCGCGATTTTCCTTGCCCCCTTCCTTTCCTTTGTCCCCACTTGCTCCAAATACCATTACACCTTGGTTGTTCTCACCGAGTGAGCCTGCCACTTGTTGAGGATTCCGGCGGCTTCTGCTTTTGGAGTAACCTCTTGCTCCCCACGCTCCTCCTCCTCTTCCTCCTCGTCGCTGCTGGAGTCCACCATGCCCGAATCCTGGAGCTCCCGTGCACTCGCGTCGACGTCGACAGTGGGCTTGGCCTTCTTCGCGGCTGGACCGTCGACTTCGACGACCTTGTTCTTGTCCGTCTGTACAGCAGCTCTCCTCTTGACGATGCCACGGACGAGAAGGTCCTCAAGTTGGCCGATGATGCACTTCCTCATGACATCGATGCCGTGCTCGGCTGCTACTTGAAGAACCCACTTCATGACCACCTCGCCAGTGATGGACCCCCGAACGAAGAGTGCGGCCGAAACTGCTTCACCGCGAGAAGCTAGGTCATAACCTGGAATTTCTCGGTGAGCATCCTCACGCGGACAGCCTTTGTGAAGATTCATGACACGGCGACAAAAAAAAAACGAGCACCAGAGGGCGGAACCAATCTCATTCAGGTGTTCACCGCACTGAATGTAGTACGTTCCTTTCCCACAGCACGTTTTGGGTTCTTGGAGAGGAGGGGGCGAATAGCGGTGGCGCTGGAAGATTGTGGCGGACGAGCTCTCGTCTGCACGTGGGAATGGATACAAATTTCGGGAGCTTGCGACGAAACAAAATCCGTGCGTGCACGCGTAAGCAAGTTGGTTCACACAGAACTTCAACGCTTATGTCATTCAGCATTGAAAACATGAGAACCGTATCCCTTCACCGCGAAGGCACTCGTGTCCCTTAATCCGACTGTACAAAATGACGCGCGCAAAACCTGCTCGGGGGTGTGGCACGTCGATTCCTCGTCCTACCATGTAACCCCAACCTCTTCTTGCGGATTCGCTAGTTGTACTCGCTCACCGATGTGCTTGTGACCGGTGACCTGGCGAACGAAGGCGTTGCGGATCAGCGGCTGCATGACCGTGTTGTGGGCCTTGGTGGTAGCAGCGTACATCTCCACCATGTGCTTGTTCGCCTGAAAAAACGAAATGACCAAGTTAGGGAAGGAAAAATAGAAAAGGCAAGCTGGAAAGTCTTCTAGCAATTAACTTGGGGAAGCACCGATGGAGCTGGGGGCAATCTATCAAACAATACAAAAAAATCCGGGCCAAGGGCGCACAAAAAAAACTTTGTCCCACACGACACCCCCAAAACTTTATTTTCGACCTCCCAGGGGGGGTGGGGGGAGGGTGCCGCTACACTAAAGCCTATATACAGAAAGGGGGCACAGAGGAGAATCTCCACATTACGTCGATGATTCTCTGTGCGGCGCCCCTCACCGCCGCCTGGATGATTTCGTTCATTTACGTTGTACGACGTCAAGAGAGCACCTGGCCACCTCAAACTGTGTGCGTAAAGCCTTCTAGAGGGCACGAGAGGTGTCCCCTCTACGCTGCTTGCTCAATTCCGCTTTCAAACCCCCAAAACGAACGAATTCCACTTTTGCTTTTTATTGCCTAGTAGATGGGGGGGGTGGGGGGGGGCGGTAGTGTGGTGATCGGGAATACTTTTATGTGCGCCCTTGTCCGGGCCTCTGTCCCGCGTGAGGTGGAAACGTGGAACTGCTGTGCATGCGCGAACCCAAAACGCCGAGCAAATTATTCGCAAAGGTACGTGGCTGGCATCAGACAAGCTGGAGAACACTCACGTGGTGGGAGTCGAATCTACATCAACACCGCAACCGACCACTGTACCTCAATCGACACTCCAACTCTCACCTTCTTGTTGTTGAGACCGGACACAGCGAACTCCGAGTTCATCAGCGAGACAAACCGGCGAAAACGGGGGTGCTCGCCGAGGTTGAACGGAGCCGCCGCATCGATTATGAGCGCTTTCACGTACTCCAGTTCGAGGAAGCGTTGCTGGTCCGTCTTCCATAGCTGACTCTGCCTCACGCAGGCGAGCTCGTCCGCGGCCTTCTCACGACTTTCGAGGGCAACAAAAACAACGAACCCGAACACATTCGCGTATTCTGGAGTCTTGGTCTAAAAATGACACGCGCAATCCCTACTCTTGTGTGGTCAACCAGTCTACAATGCAACACGTGCAATTTAAATCGGGAGTAGATGCACGTGCCATCAGTCAATCATATTGCTGTCATCGATACACATTGATGGCATTCCTGCAGATCATATCGTAATTATCAATGGATATTGATGACATTGCTCGTGATCCTATTGCTGTCATCAATGGATAGTGATGGCTTGCTGCAGATACTATTGCAACGAGCCGTAGGCATCGATAGGTCAAGTAAAGCTTCCAGTGTGATACGCAATATGACTTGGACGCTGCAATGTGAGGCTATTGCCAACATCAAACATCTTTCGATTAGCCTCTTTCGGCTGCCCACATGTTCGCGATCGTGT